GACTGTATGATTTCCGGCGTAGTATATCTCATAACGTGCTTGTCATGTGGAGATACTTACATTGGTGAGACTGGACGGCCTCTTTGCTGCCGCATAAAGGAACATCTAAACGGACTGCAAAACTTGTGGAAAACCACACCTCTAGGCTCGCACTGCATTAGGCGCCATGACGGTACGGTGTTTCAAGTTGGAGTGAAGATCCTGTCCTTTGAACCTGAGACCCTTGCACGCAAAACATTAGAGGCATTTTGGATCTTTAGAAAAATCCAAAAATGAATGCTAAAGAAGAGTGTATCACCGTCACGCAAGGGTATCAGCCTATCAATCTTTATGTGGATTTGGTCGTGAGCACATATAAAGAGAGTTGAGGGATAGTCTTGTCATAACGTGTTCGCTATAGCTCTCGTGCTGGTCATCCGAGGTGAGCTTGACTACAGTAATTCCGAACACGATCTAACCGATCGAATGCAAATGTGAGCCTTCTGTTGACGACTGAGTGAAAAGATTGCTGACTTTGACCTTCCAGGCTCTGAAGAAGGCGAAACCGCCGAAACGTCGGCCAATAAAAGCTCATAATAATCTTGTCTCTTTGCTAAATACTATAATATACGAACTTGATATCCTCCGGTAGGACCACATGAGTTTGAAAATGGCCATGTGAGCTTGAAACCATTCCATCGACTCCTGATTTCTTAGTTCAAAAACTACATTTTCCTAGGTAATAAACTACATTCTCCTAGGTAATACATAAGCATCTCGTCAACAAAATTCCAGAACTTACTACACTAAAACTGAATGTAATGGGATTATCTGACAGCATGATTACTTCAGTTCCAAATACAATGCTTATTTAATGTGATACTGCCTGGAGTACGGTAATAAAGGACAAATTTTGATTGCAGAAGCCGGCTGGAGGTGGAAGTTCTTACATGCTAAACTGATCACTCACTCTCTCCCCTAAAGCCCTCTGATGTTACTTTCGGATAAACCTACAAGTGTGCATATCATTGGTACTGGATGTAATATTTGCATTCTGCATTACGTAAACTTCCTCACCTCTCTCAAGCAAACTTAATGCGAGCTCTAATCAACCCTTTGTTTCGTCTGCAACTTCTTTACGACCCAAGACGCGCGCCACCTACTGTTTCTGAACCTTTGGCTTGTGCTCTTAGCTGCAAGATTTGAGTACATGAGGTTGAAGGCACTGTCTCACCAGAATTTGGTTGTCGAGATTTTTGCATACTGCAAGCCTTTTCGTTCCTGTTTAACCCACTGCGGGTCCAAAATCGCATAAAATGTATAAAAAAGTCCCGTTTCTTTTTCGGCCGCGTGGAAGCAACGCGGACGAGTTGTGCTTTCTCAGCCTAACCTTTGCCACGGAGGCTGCAACGCTATGAGGTGGAAGCCAAGTGGAGGGACATGTTGAAATGCTTAAGGATGAAACCGGAAGCTTCGGCCGTGCGGGCATCGCGCTTTGCGGGTCATTTTTAGGGCAAATTTCTCGGCGTAAGAGGGCCCGAGTCGAACTTGGGGAGATCGCCTGTTCAAGGGGTAGCCTAAAATAATATGTGAAAACCCGCACTCCCAATTTTGGTGAGAAAATGCCTCCAAGGCAGTCGGAGAGCAGATGTGCTTACGCATGCGGATTCCGTGCTGAGACCCGCACAAAATACAGTGGCCTTAGGTGGCGAAGCATGGATCCTTGTTCACATCATAGGTTCCATAGGGGGAACTGTCCAGGTAAAAGGGTCCCTTCCTTGGAGGGTGAAGGGGATTTTTAAAGCCACGAAGCAAAATGCCCCAGCAAGCTATTAGGTTGTAACAGAAGTAATGCTGTCTTCTTGAATTTTGAATTGGAATCATTGTAACTTTTTACACAGATAATCTTTTCGTGTGCAACAGAAATTGTTGCATTCAGCAAACCTTTGGCAAGCCAGTATGCATTGTTGCGTTGTTGTAGCTTCACCGAGAGAAATCTTATAGCTTGAACAATGCCAGGAATTTTCTTGGAAAACCTTTAATTTGGGAAACCATAACTTACTTACAAATGTAGTAAGACAGCGCACACATCACTGATTGTGTAGCATGTAAGCGGCCGTGCGCACTTCACGAAGAATTTTTTGCTAGAATATATTTGAAAAAATTTGATAGTACTCATTTTTTCCGAATTTTCTGAAAAAGGTGAAAAACTGCCTTTTTTTTGCGACTTTTGATTTCTTTCAGGACCGAAAAGAAAGAACGGCCTATAGTTTTTTTTATGAATGTATTGACCTTTTCTCACTATATAGCGAAAGCTCGGCAATCGCTTCTTGTTGAAGGTTTTTATATTGAGCAGACGTACCGCAGCGACCCTTGAAAATTGCATTGAAATTTTTCGGCTCAAAAACTCTTAGAATTTCTGAGCCGAAAAATATTCAATATGTAACTTCTAGCACAACTCACTCAGAAAATGTATGTATATTTGCAGAAAATTCGACTTTCTATGGTGGTTTGAGAGCCAAGAATATTCAAAGGAAGAATTTTATTTTTTCAAGTATATCAAAGAAAGAAATTCAAATTTGGTCTTTCAATGTCAGAGGCACCGAAATTCTACGAATTCACTTCCACTGAAGCGGAATAATGCATGACAAAGTAGACGAAAAGTTCCTTCGTGGTATATAAAACTCCCTAAGAAATTGAGATGAATTGAGATAAACCATCGTCTTTTTTTAGGTCTTCTGAGCATGGGATATGAGGAGTTTTATCGATCTATCGTATGTTAGTGTGCTCGCATTCCGCCCTCTTATCCAATACGATGAAAGAAGAAGACGGTCTACATTTATTAATGGAAACTTCCTCTGCGACACAAACAAATAATCAGCGGTAGCTAAGTCTTCGTTGGGCAGAAATCTGCGAACAAAAATGGACATAATTTCAGATAAAATGCAGCGTCTCGGTGAAGGGGCTAGGAAAAAGTCAACGGTCTACACCAAATCCCCGCTTCCTGAGCTTTTGAATGGTATATAGTGTCGGAGAAAAAAATCATTTCTAAAAAGTTGATTGAACTACATATTAGGTTGTTACATAAGTCTTGTTACACTTAACTTCTTACGGCGATAAGTCATGCACCTCATACTCTTTACAGGGCTTCAGGGTACCGTTCGATAGAGCAAAGCAAACTCTACAAGATAGTATGCGAATGTTCAAACTCGCTTCGATCCACCATGAGTTTGCAACCGAAATCTGAGTCGCAGTGAAGGCTCAAAAAATCACCAAAAATTCATATGTTTGTTCAAAAAAATTCTACGAATCTCCAACTTGCTCACAAAAATTACACACTATATCAAACACTCATATGTTCCGTTGCTGTATTTCTTCCTCATCTAGAGATCGAGAAAACAATAATTTTAAAGTTTTCACAAAAACGAAGCTATGCTGTTTCTATTCATGCAGCTGTATACTACAAGCCCTTTGAAGTATGTCCGTAAATTTTCAGCTTTCCAGAAGCCCTAGTTTTTGAAAAATACCGAATTTAGCCTTTTTCACTAAGGTATTTAATGCGAAATTAGGTAAAACTTTTTTTTAAACGGTTTCGAAAACTAGAGCTTCTAGAAAGCTGAAAATTTACGGTTATACTTCAAAGGTCTTGTAGTACACAGCTGCATGAATAGAAACAGCATAGCTTCTTGTGAAAACTTGAAAAATTTTCAATTTTTCACAAGAAGCTATGTTTGCTCCATCGAATGGTAGGGTCCTATTGAAATTATGAGTTCACGACTTATCGTCGTAAGAAATTAAAGTGTTACAAGACTTATGTAACAACCTAATAGTTACTATTAGCTTGCTCCACCCCGCTCCTCAATGGGCTTCAATGGGTCATCGGATCAAGCATTTTTTTGAACCAGGAAGCGAATTGCCCCAACAAGCTATATACCATTTGAAGCTAAAATCATGGAAAATCGACGTAGACTGTCGACTTTTTTCTACCTCCCTTGCAATTTTTAGCAAGACTTTGTTTATTTGCAGCATCGACCTGGCTATAGACCTATAGGCTGCTGCATGACGAAGGCGCAATATCCTTGGGCGCGAACGCGGCTTTATTAGCAGCAGAGCGCAGAAGGCGCAGGATTTACAACGGTGAGGATACGCGCGCGCCGCGTTCGCGCCCGCTCAACTAATACTGCTATTGCGCCTTCGTTATGCAGTAGCCTTAACATTAGTTTTTGTTTGTGGAGATATTTGCCTCTCACAACTAAAGGTGTCTAGCTGTCCACCTATCTCAAAACCGTGACAAAACTGTCCAAAAAATTGTGCAAAAGAAAAAAGGCAGAAAGCGGCAGCATACAAGCAACAACCGTTGATTCTCAAAAAATTCAAATAATTTCTCATTTTTATTTGTTTTTCTAATTAGTTGATCTCCATACTGTAGCATCTATAATATTAAGACGCCTTTGTAAATGCGGGAAAAAAGCATGACTGATCGATAAAGACACTGTTTTTTTTATAAAAGGTGCGGCCGTTGTATTTTAGGGCGGAGGTGCTAAAACTGCAATAGCTTTTTGATCATGGTTCACTCATAGATTACCACCGCAAAAATTCAGTCTCAGGTGAAGGGGGTCATCCGGGTTTTGGCTTCAAAGTGAGATAAACATTGCCCCCCCCCCCTCTCCCTATCGCAGCTATGCTCCTCAGTCAATATCATAAAAAACATAAGAAGTCTAGGTATCGTTCTGAACTTCACTGAATTGTCAATGAGCAATGCTCTCAGCTAATAAACTCTGAAACCCAAATAAGCATTCATGCTCGATGCCGATTCAAAAATCATTACAAATTCTGTGTCAAATTGTCAGTATTATTGTAAACTGAGACTTTGCAATTTTTCAGGATTCGCTGTATAAGAACTGTAGTACGATACCTCAACCGGTAAGCATTTATCAACAAAAAATGTATGGAAAAAACTAGAAGCTATTGAGCCAAAAAGTGAAGGATAACGAGTTAAGAAGACGTGGAAGTCTCTGGCACTATTCCGAGTCCACCCTTTGCAATGCAGATAGTGGAACGTGTGTGAACCACTCATCATTCCATTTTACATAACAGCAGGTCTCATTAGGCTGCAAGTTCCCGAATAGGAAATTGAAAATCTTACGAACTCTGGTATTTACCTCCGTCCACACGATTCCATTCATGTAAAGCATATGTTGTTTCAGCGGTGTCCAGTCTTTGTAATTGAACACAGTTTCACTGGCTTCAACATTACCGCGCGAGGTTGTGGGGCCAACGTAGTTAGATACATCCTTACCACAGGTCATACACTGTAGGTGATTCTTTTTATACCGCCAATATTCGCGTTCGTATATATTCCTTAAACAAACTTTTATCATAACTTCAAAAACCTGCACTGCTTCAGGATGCTGTAGAATAAGAGGTACGATAAGGCACGTCAAATGCTCTACTTGACAAGATGCTTCCAGTACGCTTCGATACAGTTTTTCTTCCACTGCACAGTATCGCTAAGGGCGATACGTGACACGCGGGCTTCACTAACTCTTTTTGTGGATGCGTAGGATACGCACATCTCGGCAAGACCAAGAAGGTTGTAGAACTGGAAATGATAAAGTAAGAAGGACTTCAAATGAGTCAAAGACTAGTCTTTTTCTGCAAACTCACGTCAGCTTCTTTTCTTATGGCCTCTCGAGCAGCATCTCCTTTGGGGAGAGTAACATTACCACTGTCTCTCAGGTAATCCAATATCTGAAAAGATTAGCGTGTATCCAGAAAACACGATGACAAATGATTTTGAAAAATTGTAACTTCAGTAGATGAACACAGCGACAGCCATAGAGAAATCATCGAAACAGTCTCGATTGTCGGATGAATTCTGTTACACTTTTTTTTGTAATATTCCGAAAGATTCCGGAAGTCTCCGAATTTGTTCGATATCTATTTAGGGTACGACAGGGCGTACACAGAATGCTTGATGCCGCAAATGCACAAACAGCCAGCAACTTACTACAACTTTGTAAGCAAGCTCGAAATAGCCACTATGTCCTTGAAGTTTTTTCTCTGCGCATAATTGCGTCTTTTCTCTCCTATAATTTTTTATTGCATATTTTCGCACCGCCTCAATTGCCAGAACCTTGGTGCCGCTAGCATGTCAAAAACGAGGGGTAACAATGGAATCAAAGGAATCAGCTCGTCGGAATTTTTTTTGTACGCATCATGTAGGATTCGATATGGGGAGATGCGAGTCATTTTCGTAAATTTTCAAAAGTAGTTCTTCATGCTAAGATGAGAATGTGCGCTGACATGGCCCAACTAGCTTATGTAACCGTGTGGTGATATGAATGTGCCATCCCCTATATTTATTAAAAACTACGGGCCATAACCACATTGCCCGTTCTACCCTGATCACCTGGGGCGGTATTTATCAATCTCCCACTCGCTGTGCGGCTTACTGTTACCGAGAGCCCGCACAGGCGAAAGCGCCCTTTCCGCAATTATAAAAGACCCGACTCGTCGAGATGGGGAACTGCTCCTCAACTGCCGTGCCCGAAATAGCCGAACTTGCCAGATCGGAACATATGCTTCAATAGACAGGAGCCCGGCACCAACTTGGCTTCATGTATCGCGGGCGCCAGTGCCCGCGCCTGTACGGGCTGTTACCTGTAGGGGAACCCCTTCCTATACAGGAGATTGATAAATACCGCCCCTGGGTGCCGGACCGTTGACAAAGATGTCCATAAAATGTACTCCCACCGATGAAATGGATGTTTTGCGTACAGATCACGGATATGACAGTACCGGTGAGTAAACCTTTGCCTCGTCAACACTCCCTGGACATGTGAACTTTCGAACGTTTCCTGGATTCTTGAAAATAAAAAGAAGTGCAACAGAAATTATCCAACAACCTGATAAAAGGATGGCGTCTACTGGATGCAGAAAGTTTCAGGAAAAAGGAAAGAGGAAGAGAAACTTTTTTCAAAATGATAAGACAATTTCAGGTTCAACTGTCAACGTAATTTGTGAACATAAAGTAGCTTTAGACGTTCCTAAATGTAAAGAACGTATACTTGTATATACCACCTTTGCGAAATGAGTTGGGTTTCGATCCACAAATAAATCCTCCCCATTCCGCCATCGTTCTGCCACCATCGCGGAGAGCATCTAACGATTACGACTATGTCGAAGGCTCGCAAGGGAGTGAATTTAAACCTACTGTATTATCTATCCTGGTCAGTGTGGAGACTGTAGTTTCGAACACTGTGCCACCCACGTTGATTTTGACTCGTTCACCACTACTTTGACGTTCGTCCATTTCTGCCTGAAACTACTTCTATCGGAAGATTACATGCATAATAATGACTTTGAAGAATGTGACAGCGTAAGCACACCAATTTGCGTCTGCCGTGACTTGGCTTAGGCTACAGATGAGGAGCAGCGGCGTTCTGGAGCGGCTGTACTTGGCGCGGGTCCCAGCGTGCAAGGTTACGATTACGTTAGGAAATTTCAAGGCTTCCAATCTTCGTACCTTGCAAACTACCCTGATTGAGTGTAGAACACCAGTGGCGTACCGAGGGGGGGGGGGCGGGAGGGGCGCCCTTGTTCTGAAATTTCAGGATTCTAACCCGCAAAAATTTTAGGGAGCATACCAAAAAAATTTTCGGAGTGCGTGGTTGACGCCAAGCACCTTCATCGGAAAAATTTTTGTCGCCCCCCCCCCCCGAGCCGAAATCCTGGGTACGCCACTGTAGAGCATGTATCAAAAACAGCATGCGTGCAGAAAACGGTTTTGGGTTCCTAACAGGACTCGGCACGAGGTGACTAGTTGAAAATGCAAAAAACGAAGTTCCCCTTGAATTTTTCGAATTTTTACGAAGTTACCTTTGACCCCAGACCAAAATCCCTAAAACTCCTCCAAAAAACCAAACGAAGACTAAAGAAACGTCGCAAATTCTGTGCTTTTTCGGCCACAAAAACGAAACCCTCTTTGCTTTTTGTCCCAAAAACAATATCCAGCTTGCTCAAAAGCCACCTCTACCGAGCCCTGGTTCGTAAAGCAGCTGTAAAGTAGCAAAGTTGGCTAGAGCTATTCAACAGTTTACTTATTCTATCTTGGGGGAGGGGAAATGGGCAGCAGGGAGGGGTTGATGCTTATTTCAAATGTCGCATCTAATCTTCTCAGTTTTCTGTGTTAATTTTTAGTTACATTTCGATATCGTAAACGTGGGAGCCCTACGGTAAGTGGTACCGTACCGACAGAGTACGGCAATCATGTTCGGTATGTCACCTGTACGTTAAGCACATTTCTGTGCACTCTAAAATTCTGGTACTACCTCAGAAACCTCACCTACTATCATTTTGAGATTATGTCATCATCATGTCAATTCCTTTCGCAAAACACTCAAGAAGCTGAAAATGTGGAAATTTCCAGGACCACTGCAAACTTCTTTGCTGAGCCCGCACCGTGAATTCGGGCCTGAATATCTACGTAAGAATAAGCAAATCATCCTGTAGAACACACATCTTTCTTCGACCTAAGACAATCATTTCTTTCGATTGTCATACGTTTGCAAGCGCAGTACTAGTATAGTGAAAATTCCAAGAAGGCGTGAGGATGAGCTTTCTGCCTCACGAATACTTTCCACTGAGATTCGATAGCGTTCTCCTTCCAACATCACTAAGAGAAATTCTTTAGGCAAGCACATCTTGGCTAATTCGGGCTGATTATAGAACTGAATGATAATTTCAGCGAATTTTTATTCTTATTGAAGGAACACGCTTCAGATTCTCTTCGGAAAGCTTTACAGACCCTTTAGTTGGAACAAGGGAATGATCTCCCTCCGAAATAACTTGGCTTACAATGGTCGAAGAATACAATCACACTAGAATACTGATGCAAACAGATGTTCCTCATCATGCCAGCGTTCGGTACCATAGCGGAAAGCATCCATCACTGCCATGACGAAGCTAACAAGCATGAAAGCAAAAGCTCATTTTGAACTATCATTTACTCTCGTCACGGTAGAAAGCTAAGCGAAAACTGTCACCAACACTAAACTTCACATGCTTGTCGTACGAGGAAAGTTTCTGTTTTTTTTTTGCCTAGAATCTATTTTCAACAATCATTTTACAAGCAAACAACTCGTTAAATGGGGGCAATTCGCAAGAAGAAATGGATAAGTTATAATCATTGACTAGTCATGTTGAAGGCGAGATGAGCTGATGGCAATAGACGAATGAGTCATGATTTTAGCGGAGCTGGCACGAATTTCAGCGGGCAAGTGACACAAAGAAAGGGCAAAAAGAAGCTGTGAAATTCTTTGATCAAGATGTGCTCTACTTCTCAGATTCTCGAAATTTCTATTCGACTGGAGGACTTCTCATGAGAAAGCTAATTGTGCAAACGATTTTAAATTTAGGAATCCAGAAAGGGTCTATAAGGTTGGGAACTAAGTTTCGCAACTTCTTCAATAATGCCATTATGTAGATAATGGTGTAAGCTACAAACGCAGCTGCTGCCAACCGATGTCGTAATGAGGGATACGGTAGGTATATGGTATAAGGGGATAAGGAAACTTGGCATGGGCGGGGGGTCATCGAAATGCTAATCACGAAAACGATACAGAAATTGCATGAAGGGGCTTTTTTGACTGCAAGTTTACGGCATGGGGTCTGCGCTAACAAGAAAAGAGGAGTTGATTCAAAAGTGAACTGGATATTTGTGTTCGTCAATCAACTAACCCCACTGTGTGAATTCGGAAATTTTTGGGGTCCCGCCTCCCTGATCATTGACGGTTATCCTCGCCTTGCGTACAGCGACTCGTTCAACTTTATGAGAGCAAAATCTCGACTTGTCTTTGAATTCTATTCCTTATTTTCGATGAATCGAACTCTAGCTACAGTTCGTATACAATTTCGAATCATCGCGCATGGTGTCTAGGTCGCAAACGACTTTATTCTTGCGCATAACCCCATAAATCTTCAGAATTCAGCAATTTTCAAGAATGTCTGAAACTTTTTTATTTCGTCTTCGAATAGTGTGTACCCAATTGTAGCACTCATCATGGTCTACATATTATCAAAGTTTAAGAGCGCCACAATCAACGAGAGTAAAGTTAGGAAAGAAGTTGCAAAACTTCATTTCCAACCTAGTAATAAGAGATGGTAGTGCGTGTTCTTTTTCCAGCTGAATGGGGAGCAAAGTTTCCACTACTTTGTGAATTTTCGTTAAAACTGTTCCCTTCAAATACGCACAATATTATCAACTTGCACAGAGTACGCACAGAAGTCTCAATAATGAGGACAACTTTATTAAGCAACTTCCTTCAAACTAGAATTCCAAATCATTTAAAGCACAGCATCCAGGCAAATCTGGGCCTATGGGAATCTCACTTGGAGGGTAATCTTGGAGCCTTAAATAGAACAAGCGGCAACTCAAACGGTGAGCTCACAATTGAGACGGCCTCCAAACTGGACCCCGGGATCGCATTCGCATGGATTCATGGCGCGACACATCGGTTTCGCGCGAGGACCCAAGCGCATACCTTCGATAGTCAAGAGACAGAGCCTAGAAAGTGATAGTTGTTTGAGTTCTTGCCCCCTATAAAAAGTGAAGGTTGTTTTAGAAAAAATAGATGGAAATTTAGAGATCTGAATTGAACCAGGAAACTTGAAAAATTCATATAAGACAGAGGCTAACACATCACCAAATTTAAAACCTTATCTTGGTGGTTTCCTACGCACATTTTTGTCTTCAGAATTGCCGGTTAAATTGGGTGGCAACAGGAACAAAGTTCTTTTCTAATTGAAAAAAAGCGTTAGCTGTGGCAGTAGTTGGGAAACCGAAAGAAGGCAAACTTGTCAACAACTGAACTGAACATGTTAAACATGTCTGAAAAGTTATGCTGCACATCGACGCCAATCTGATTTTTGACGCGTCCTTCGAATTTTCACCCCCGCATGGTCGTTTCGTATCCTGCGACGTTGTCTAAAATCTTCCTCTCATCATTCTGAGCAAGTAGCGTCCAAGCTGGAGAAAATTCGTTGCAAAAGCATTGAAAAAGAACAAGGTAAAGAAGAACGCACTTTATGGTAATTTTCACAAAATACCCGGCATAAGCAAAGAAGTAAGCTCGGCGACGTTGTCTACATCATAGACAGAAACAAGACCTATCGAATACACAAAAAAACCGAGTGAAAAGAGTTGAACTGAAGAAAAAACAAGAGGTTTTCGAAAACTCCGTTTTTCTTATATTTCTCGTTTAAATCATAAAAAGGAGTCTTGCGACGTTGTCAGCGTGAAAATAGAGATCAAGAGCTTTATTATGATATATAGATTGTCGAAATTAGGCTCCCAACAACGAAGAAAAGGGTACCAGAGCCAAATGCCCCGCGCCCCGCTTTTGGGGTAGCGAGGTAGCGCGCAAGTCGCGGAGACGCAGACGAGCAGCGGAGACAGACCAGAGCCGGCGGGGCATTTGGCTCTGGTCATTGATCTCCGCGGGATCATAACGAAACCTTGTAACATTATATATCGTTGTGATCCTCATGAGACGTCCAGGAGCACTGACAACGTCGAGGGTCTTGAAAATCACTCCATAACGAGATAGACCAGTATTTAAGTAGCGACTCTCTGCGCAAGATTTGAGCGCAGTTTCTCGTTTCTATGAACTGCAGCGGCTTTCATGAACTTCCAACGCCTAATCGAAGTAGTCTAGAGAAAGATTAATTGAGAAATTTTGCTCCAGATCCTCATTGAATTTTTGAATAAAAGTCTTTTTGGCAAAAAAGAGCCATGAAAACGTAATCCTTCGGTTTTTTGAGCTTCTTTTGGATGTCACTACTATATTTATCTCATTCACATCTCTCCCTATATGGATATGTCATTAGTTATGCTATGATATCCGGGGCTTCGCCCCGGATGACTTCCCTCTAGGTGAAGGTTGTGTTCTATCATGACGCTCAAAGTGAAGGTCACCAGAGTACGTGGCTCTATGTATCGAAGGTATGCCCAAGCGTGTCGCGCCATGCCATGCGAATATGATCCCGGAGGTCCAGTTTGGAGGCGAATATCTCAACTGTGAGTTTACCATTTGAGCTGCCGCTTGGGCACTGTCTTAGTTAGGGTCCCAAAATTACTTTCTACATCAGAAGCTCATATGTCCAGATTTGCCTGGACGCTGCCTTTGAGATGCACTTTGAAAAACACCGCGATTATCATCGCCCACGAGCCATAGCGAACCATCATACACATCTCCAGGACAAGGTCTGGTTAAACATTCTCCATTAAGCATTCCTGCATTACTATTTTTAGTAATATGCTTCACAAACTATCTACGTACCTGAACCTAACAGAGCAGATGGATCAAGGATATCTCGATACTAAGGATTGTGAGCACCAGCTGCTGGTAATTTTCCAGATTTGGAAGTTTACCCTGCTATTTTGCAAAAAAAACACTCAGAGGGGTGTTTCAAAATAATAGATGATTGAGAACCTCAACAGGATAAAATACTTAGTGCAGAAAACCATTGACGCCTCTCAAGCATCAGACAGAACTCTTGAAATCGTTTGAACTTCTCAGAGGCTTGAGAGTTCGAGGCTACCTTTCAGCAGCATTCGGCACAATTCTAAATTTCAAGGTGACGCAACTTTACTTCTAGAATCATAAATACCATAGACATTGCCAAACTGCGCAAACAATGGACATTTGTAAGCACTGAGTAAGGATCTCTTAGCAAAGCGTTATAATGTGCATCACGTATACAGTAGGTCAATTAACTGATCAAAAACCGAACAGAATGGAAAAGAGACATGAACATGGATCAAAAACGTGGAAATAATAATCAAAAGAATATAATTATCTCGATAAACGCAGTGCAGATTTTGGATGATGTAGCTCCCAGTTAGAACTCCACTTTACGCGACAACATTGCTCATCAACCTATAACATTTATAATATTTACAAATGATATACTGACAACCTAAATTCGTGAGCTGATAATTCTAACCTGTGTCACTGTTCCTTTCATAATCATCATATGATGCTTCAAAAGCACCCAGCTTTCATATACAATGGAGGGATTTCCGTCCTCTTTGAACGAGATTGGCGTAAGACCTACATATCCGTCAACAAAACATCCGCAAGCCATGCATGTTACCGCCCTCCTTTCCCAGTGTTCAACATCGTTCTGATACCTTGCAAAATATCTTTTTCAGAATATTGGGTAGTTCTTAAAGCACCAGATAATGAAATGCCAAACCACCGTTCTTTTACTGACGAAGAACTTCCAATATTCTTCAAGAAGGCTTTCCCTCCACTGAACCCGATCCCCAATTTTGAATTCATCGCTATTAAATACACACATCTTCGCTAGACTGGGAATATTGTAGAACTATAACAGTTTTAAGCATCATTTCCAGGATCTTTACGTAGATCTCACCTCAGCATCTTTACGAAGAGCTTCTCGAGCATCGTCTTTTGGAGGAAGAGTGAAACTCCCTTCATCTCTCAGATACTCCAATATCTGAAAGCTCAAAAAATAGCTTGATACAAAACAACTGGCTTTCTTACTTTTTGCGAAAAGAGTTGGATCCCTATCTACAAACAAATCTCCTCCACTTCGCCAGCGTTCGGCTGCCATGGCAGAGAGCATCTTAAGATTAGCATGAACAAATGTACAGAAATAAAAGCTCAACTCACAGTGTCATTCAATCTCGTAATAGTAGATAGATACGTTTCAAAAACTGTGCCACCAACATTGATTTTTACACGCGTGCCATGTGAAACAAGTTTGTGTTCTTCCGCCTAAAAATTTTCATGTAACGAATTTATGCGAACCTAAGGAAAAGGCATCTCAAAAATCGGCGTCTCAATTTTACTCAAAATTTTACATAACTTCGACGAAGAACTCCTCCCACTTTCTACCGTGCTCTATACCAGCGAGCACCTGCTGAAATTAGCACATACAGTCGAGTAGATTTTCCGCTTAGTATAGTGTGCTTGCACGTATGTGGTAAAATTTGCGCGTGAACAAATAGCTACCCCTGTGACGCCTGCCAAGTGCGCGCGCAAAATGACGGCATTACTGGCGCACTCGTTTACGCGCAAATTTTATCGCGCTCACCCGCTATGCATACTATTTTAAGCGGAAACTCGACTGAAGACAGATCGAGTTTATGGATGGGTTTATGGATGAGCGGACACATACTGCCTTCTACGCC